CCCCCCCCCCAGCTTTCTGTTCCAATTACTGCCATTTTGAGAAGTGGAAAACATTTCAAGCTTGCTTTAAAATCCTTTTATGTAACTCAGCATATTATTTGGAAGTTGAAACAGGAGACAGTTTGGACTGTGTGTTGTTAGAAGTCTGCATATTGTAACTGACTCCGTGCCAAGCCTCTGTTTGTACATTTTATAAATGCAGCTATTTATGAGAGTAGTATCTTTGTCGTTTTGATGTCCTAAGAGCCACAAGATAGTGGCTTAAGCACATGTGCCATCTGTGTAAGAAAATACTGAATGTGTTAACCCAGTTCATATGAAATGGATGCTGGCTCATCCTCATTTTTTATCTTTGTGTTTATTGGGCAAGTTATATTTTAACTTGAAAAATGGTCAAATGTACTATATTTCATTTTATGGCTTTGTCATAAACAGTGGGACTTCTCCTAAATCAATAAGTGAATAAACCTGTCAAAAAAAAAGTAAGCATACTGAAAAAATTGTGTGTAAGTGTTTTTCCACTGTATTGCAAAACATTGTTTGAGTAGGTAATTCTGGTTAGATTATAAGATTATTCCTTTCTCTCTCTTCCCTTTTATATACTTACTGACTCTCATAGAGTAACAAAATTGACCTGCTCTGATTGTTCAACAAGAAGTTGGCAACCATTCTTTGCTCACCTGTAATATTTAAAATGCGTTCCTCATCATTTGTTTTTGCTTGTATCTCTTTGTAAATTGGCAAGATATTTTTTTCTTTTTTCTTAAAGTGTGTTTGCTTTAAGAAAAATCAGTTTTGTTCTAGTGACTTTTAGCTAGTCCTTCTTGGCTTTCCAACCCGGGAAGATGCATAAAAGCCAGCTGAAATATAGTACTTTGATACAGATTTTTATTTATTGCATAGCTGTGTGTGCATGTGTATAAACATATACTTAATGTACACGTAGGGTGTATACACAATATATGTAAAATGCAGTTGTGTTCATGACATAGGTAGGACTCTAATATTTCTTATAGTTTATCTTTTATAAAAAGGTGCTTTTAAACGTTATCACAAAATGTATAAGTTACTGCATGAGAGAAGCCAGAGACAAAGCCCAAACTCTAAAGTTAATGAATTTCTTGGTTGGTGATGAGATTATAAAGTCATTTATTTTATTTTTTTAAAAGAGAAACTAAAGAATAAACTGTCAGATAACTGTTATATTCATCTAAACTATCTCTGTGTTCAGTAGATGGGCCTATTTAGCCTGTAACCAATTTAGTTTGATTTATTTTTTGAAAAAATAGGTGCTTCTTGTGCTTCACCATCTGTTAACACTGTGCATACTAATAAACTGGGATCTGGGTTTTCTTTTTGCCATGGAAAAATGCAGGTTTTCTCCTTTAAAAAAGAAAAATGTGGGAAACTGCAGGCTTCCTCTTGCAGGAGGGGGCTGCTTGGGGCTGGAGGGGGTGGGAGGAGTGGGCGCACACATGCCCATGGCAGCCAGGCAACGTGGCAAGTCAGTGAGGCAGGGGGCATAGACAACGTATACTTACAAAATATTCTTGTTAAATCAGCAACTAGCAATATCTGCCCCTTTGGTCCTTCAATCCATTATCATATTTCTTACCCCTCTAACTGTCTTTAAGCATACTTCAAAGACAATTCTACCATCAGTGCACAGTGGAAGGAACACTTTAAAGATCTTCTGAACTGGCATGGCTGGTGCAGGGGTCCTGGCGGTGGCAGCAAGTCTCACCACCTACTCTGCCTTTTTGAACCAAGTCCTGCCTGCTGCATTGCGGAGATGGCTCCTGCCCATGCCAGTCCAGTCAGGCTTCAGCCCTGTGCCCACTGTGGGTGCAGAAATCTTGGGGGGGGGGGGGAAGGGGCTCCCCATGGCCCATGCACATGTCCCACACACCTGGGGACTGGGGGATATGAGGCAGTGAGTCGGGAGCGAGGGGCACCACCAGGGCCTGGGGGCTATTTTCTACTTCAACTATTTACTGGATTGGGACTGGCCATTTATGTTTACAAATGGGCCCTGGTATAAAAAAGGTTGAGCCATTGTTGTAGAGGAAATTACTCCAGACTATTGTTCACAGTTGTTGGCAAAGTATTCCTTTATAAGATAGGACATGTTGCAACTTAAAGACACAGAATTGCAAAGTATAATTT